TCCATTGGCTTCAAAGGCATACTACTGTTCGGTACGGACGAGCAAAAAGCGAAGTTTTTGCCCGATTTGGCGGCCGGTAAACGAGTCGCCTGTTTCTGTCTGACGGAGCCCTCGGCCGGTATGTATGAACCGCTGAGTATAGGTTGTGGCGAACTCCCGGTGCCCTTATGAACAGCACAGTACCATCTGTTTTGGTTTAATAACTATTTAGTGAATTCAGTGGTGTTTGAGTTACTGTTGAGTATATCTATGTATAGTATGTCTATCTATTGACACATAATATAAATCTAGTTATTATTACCTGTCCACCAAATTATACGATATAATGGATATATAAGTGTGTTTCAAGTGGGAGGCGCCCCCTCTAACTCTAACAAGTACTGAGAGTTCGCTCAAACTAATGGTTAACAATAATAAAACTCATTAGACTTTTAGGTGTTATACCTATAGATTTGCCATTAATTGTGTGTTTTTTAGTAAAAACTATTTATTAATAAATTGTTTCCTAATCTCATGGTATGGTTGACCACCTCTGGAACTGGACTTTTTGTGGCGATCGATGACAACGACTTTGAAATACAGGTTCAGACGCGTCGGCCATCAAAACAAAGGCCGAACTCTCTCCGGACGGCAAACACTATGTACTGAACGGCGAGAAGATCTGGATCTCCAACGGCGGGATCGCCGACGTGTTCACTGTATTCGCCAAAACGCCGGTGCGATCCGAGACTACCGGTGCGCTCGAGGATAAGGTGACGGCGTTTATCGTGGAGAGAGGGCCGGGACTCACGTCCGGTCCGCCCAACAAGAAGATGGGTATAAAGGCGTCCAATACTACGGAAGTGTTCTTCGATAACGTGAAGGTGCCGGTGGACCACGTGTTGGGACAGGTGGGCGAGGGGTTTAAGGTGGCCATGAATATACTCAACAACGGCCGGTTCGGTATGGCCGGTGCTCTATCGGGTATGTGTAGTCTCTCTCATGAGGTGTCGGTGCTATGTTAGTAACTGTGCGCGTGAATTGGTTTAGTTTTAAAGGGGTTTTGATTTTGATTTTTGTATACACTTGTGAGTGATGTTTGTAGGAGTTATCAGACCTCCCGTTCCCCTCATACTAGATATAATGTTAGCTATGCGTGAAGTATATTACTAAACCACAGCACCGATACTAATGCCTATTAATAATAGGTTATTATTGTACAGTGCTTTTGTTTATTGATTGTAATACCGGTGTCGCTGACCTACAGGTGCGATGAGGACGTGTATCACTGCGGTCACAGATCACGCCAACACCCGAACCCAATTCGGTAATAAGCTGTCGACCTATGGGGACATACAGGAGAAGATCGCACACATGTCTGTCCGACACTACGTCACCGAATCCATGGCCTATATGTTGAGGTCTGTCCACTCATACCCTACCCATACAACTAACCCTAACCCAAACCCATAGCCCTATACTCACAACTAAACCCTTATTTATTAATAATTTTAAAACTAATGCAATGTTTGTGTGGTTTTCAGTGGTGTTATGGATAAGGGGTTTACGGACTACCAGTTG